GAAGCCCCAGGGGAGCAGGCCTGGGTAGCTATTTGTTCAATAAGTACCCTAGTGAGTCTTACCTGTGAAATGCGGGAAATTGATTTATCTCATTCTATTTTTGTAAAAGGCCTAGTCATTGCATTCCACAGACTACTTTTGGAGTTTTGAAAGATTAATTAATATTTGGTGGCTACTGTTTCAGCTCAGCAATGCCTCTTTCAGTCCCCTGAAATAAGTAAGTGTAGGCATTTTAAGGGAAGTGTTTTTTTGGTAGCATATGTTCTCATTATATGGTAATTCCTTCGAGTGTCTGTCATCACTCTAAAGCTAATACCTGGTGTTGCATGACCACGGATTTTGAAAATTAATTTCTTTTTCAAACTTGTAATGATGACTAATGACACTGAATAGGCCTTAACAAGTGGACATGGACTAATAAAATGTTGCTGCTCAGTGATTCATGGCATTTGACGTGATCCACTTTAGGAAAAGTGGTCATGTGAATTTGTAAATCAGTCTTCTAAGGAGTGATGGAGGGGTAGGGGGGCTTTCTGATGTTAAAATGTCAGGATTCACATTTACCTAAACTAGTAGTAGGAAATACGGTATTTTAAATTCATGATGCCTGTTGGGTATTATCTTTAGAAGAGCATTATCTTGGGCATTATCTAGAAGGTTGTTCCCATTTTTAAGATGTTTTAATGTTTTTTTCTTTTATTCAGAAAGTGTTTGAGTACCTTCAACATGCATACTACCACATAGTTAAGTGATCACATATTTCTTTCTTTTTTTTTGAGAGGGCATCTGTCATATTTATTGATCAAATGGTTGTTAACAACAATAAAATTCTGTATAGGGGACTCAATGCACAATCATTAATCAACCCCAAGCCTAATTCTCAACAGTGTCCAATCTTCTGAAGCAAAATGAACAAGTTCTTACATGGTGAACAAGTTCTTACATAGTGAATAAGTTCTTAAATGGTGAACAGTGCAAGGGCAGTCATATCACAGAAACTTTTGGTTTTGATCATGCATCATGAACTATAAACAATCAAATAAGATATGATCATTCATTTGATTTTTATACTTGATTTATATGTGAATCCCACATTTTTCCCTTATTTTATTTTATTTTTTTTAAATAAAATGCTGAAGTGGTAGGTAGATGCAAGATAAAAGTAGAAAACATAATTTAGTGCTGTAAGAGGGCAATTGTAGATGATCAGGTGTGTGCCTATAGACTAAGTATTAATCCAAGCTAGACAAGGGCAACAAAACATCCACGGATGCAGAAGATTTCTCTCAAAACGGGGGGTGAGGTTCTAAGCCCCCCAATTTCTCACCTGATGGCCCCCCTGCGACTGTGCCTGTCTTAGGTTGTTCCTCCCTTGAGGAATCTTACCCTTCTCTGGCTAACCAGCCATCTTCCAGGGCCATACAGGGAAATGTAAAGTTGGTAAGTGAGAGAGAAGCAATATTCTTTGAAAAGGTTAGCTTTTTACTTCTTTGCAGATTTATGCCCTGTGGCTTGTATGTCCAGCATTTGTCTTGAGGTATCTTTACCACTTGGAAGAATTATGATACTCGGTAATTTTTTATATGAGGCACGAATTCTACTGTAATTAGGAAGGAAGAAGAAAAGCTATAGAAGTAGCAGATGGAAGAAAACATGGGAAGATTGATTATTTCTTTGACATAACTTCTTGTAGAGTAATATAAGCATGTATAGGTTTTAACAAACTACTAATTAAATTGCATACACACATTAACAGAATAGGAATACAGATACATAACAAAAGCAGACCTACAATTACCAGCCATATTCATTGAAACCAAGAAAACCAGTTAGGTACCCTAGGCATTTGTGAAAACTTATCAATAATATGATGGATATTGTCTAACTGAATTTGAATATTTTGAGAAAAATCAGACAAATTAAAACAACACATTCCTGGGAACTGTTCACATCCCATATGTTCTTTTAACAGTAGATAGTCTATAGTCACACGATTTTGGAGTGCTGCAACTTGCACTTCTCCTAATTCTTGGTTGAGTGATCATATATTTCTTAAAGCAGTTTAAAACATAAAACTGCAGTAGTAGTCCTTGGAAGAATACATAAATTATCCTTTGAGTTGGAATTAGTAATATACTATTACTAATATATATACTTGGAAAGCTTTGATTCTTATTTTAGAAGTTGAGCAAATTTTTACAGAGATGTCTTTATTGAAAAAATGTTACTAATTATCAGAGGATGTATTTCAAAGTCATTTTTACTCCTTGTTGAGAATGAACTTTGGGGGCAATACGAAAGGAATGTAAGTTTGGTTGAGGAACTGACTTTTACAGATGAAACAGAGTACTTACCCAGATAGCATATGGTTTGGGACCAAAAAGAGTAGTACAGGTAAATGGTATTGTTGGAGTCCAGAAGAGGAGGTCAGTAGGGGTTGGAATAGTTATGGGGATTTTCTAGAAAAATTTACCTTTGGAAGATGGGCTTTTGGGTATCCAAAGGAGTATCCAGGAATAAAGATTTCCTAAGTGGGGTAGGTACATAAACTAAGGCACATGGTTGGAGTAAGCAGTAATTGTATGGTACAATGAATAGAATAGTGTGAGGGAAGTAGAGTGTTGACTTAGATTAGATAAAATTGGAAGGGTAGACTGGGCCTAGATTCTAGAGGGCTGAACATGGCAGGCTGTAACATTTAGTTCAAACTACCTAAGAGGGACCACAGGAAGTTTCTGAGTGAGAAATTTAGGTTATTAAGGCATTGTTTTAAGACTTTTAACTGTAAACTTTGGTTTTGAAATTGTGCTGTGGGGTCTCAGGTTTGGGCGTCCTGGGCGTAACAAGGGCTCTTTGATATCTTGGTCACTGCTGTGTCCTTGGAGCCCAGGATAGTCTGGTACTCAGTAGGAAATCAGAAATATTAGTTAAGTGAATAAATGGCACAGCTTTGGATGTCTCCCCACCCATGTGTGAGATGGAACAGATCCATATGACAGTGGGTATCTATGTATTGTTTCACTTTAATTGGAGTGGTTCCCTACATAAGTAGTTTGAAACCCCCAATATGTAGAATTAGTGGAGGGGAGCCCAGAAATCAATTTGGAATCTATAGTTTAGGTCCTGATTTCTAGACCTCAAAGTGGCTCTGTTGTGTATTCCCATTACAATGTATTATAGTACCCTGGTTCAGAGGAATTAATGTTTTCATTTTGATGTAATAAAAAAATGATGGCATTATATGATGTGAGATAGGTGAAATTTTATAGCTTTAAGCTGAAATCACGACTGGCATTAGCAGATACTGGGCATCTATTTTGGGGGAGATGGAAGGAAAATGGTTATAAACCCTGACCCTGACGCGGTTGATCATTGTATTTTGATAAGGTTATGTAGTACTGCACAGTTAGTTGATTTTGATACTTACTTCACTGGAGTAGTATTTCTTATCATCCAAGTATTTGGAAATTGGTGCTCAAGTTGAATAGAGTCACCATATTGGCTAGAAGTAGCCATCATGTTTATAAAATGTTCTGTAGAAGTTTTCTGTATTTTTCCCAGTGTCACCATTCTTATTTGTAGGTTTCCTGATAGGTATCCAGGGAGCCTAGTGGTGCATTGTTATAAAGTGATTTGTGTAATTCTGCTTCTCTTTGGAAATTCTTAAACACATTTCTTTAGTACCCAGTTGATGAAGTTGATATAAGGACAGTAGCCCTTTCCTTACCTCACTGAGACCCCGGGCAGTTTTCATCATCACTTTTATTCTTACTTTCTCTTTGGCTGAGCTATGCTGCTTCTGTTCACACTCATGAGAGAATCATAGTCAAGTATGTACTTGGATATAGTCCCTGTACTTATAAAGTTATATCACAGTAAGTATATAAGAATGGTGAGCATTGACGTGGATTGATTTGATATGTATTATATAAATTTTTGCCTTTTTAAAGGGATTATTAAATTAACATTAAATAAATTCAGAAAATACTAGAAGGTGGTTACTGCTTTGATTAACTGTGGGTGAACAGCTGAACAGATTTCTTCTTATGTACTATTTAAAAGACTTCTTCAAATTTTACGTGATCAGTCTGATACACAGAATGGGTGAGAAGAAAGGAGGAGGCTGTCATGATGTGGGAGTTCCTGAAACAGGCTGTGAATCAGAATTACTGGGGGTAGTGCATGTGTGGTGGTGTTTGCTTAGAATATAATTTCCAAGGCCCACCCCAAATATATTAAATTTGATTCTCCAGAGATGGGGTCTCAACAACTACATTTTAGATACGTTTCCTAGGTTAGCCAGACCTAGCTAGCCTGAGTACCAGCATTTGGGAACCATTGCTTCCAGTGGCTTCTTATACACTTAGATATCACTTCTTTACCACCCTTTACCTCAGCCTACAGGGCTCTGTGTAATCTTACCTTGATCTCTGATCTCTTTCCCTCGTTTGTACCACTATTCCTTTTGCTTACTATGCTTCAGCAGCTGGTTTTCTTTCTATGCTTACAACAAGCCAACATTCCCACCACTGGGTCTTGCACTTGCTGTTCCCTCTTCCTGGAATACCCTGCCCCTAGATATTTGCATGGGTGATTTATTCTGATCTTAGACCAAATGTTTCTTCCTGAAGGATGCCACTCGATAGCCCCTACCTCACCCCCCAATCTAAAGCTGCTCCCCAGCACCCTGTCAGTCTCTGCCACATCACTGTCTTTATTCAAGCACTTGTAACAATGATCATGTTTATTTTCTGTTGCCTCTAGAATGTATACAGGCAGGGCCCTTGCTAGTCTTTTTCACTCTCTTTTCTCCAAAACCTAGAATAGTCTGGCTCTTAGTAAGTACTTAGGAGATACTTGTTTTGAGACAGCTTGCTTTGCCCAGCCAGTGAGCTCACGTCGTGTGATACAGTTGAAGGAAGGATTGCTCAGCTGACCAGGCTGCAGTCTTCTTGTGGATACCACCATTTCTTGTAATTCTCTTTTTCTTCCCTGTCTAGCTGAGTCTACCTCAGGGCGAGGCCAGTACCTGAAACGCATCCGATACCACGGCAGAGGTCGCTTTGGGCTCATGGAGAAGGTTTTTTGCCATTACTTTGTGAAGTTGGTGGAAGGCCCCCCACCTCCCCTTGAGGCACCAAAGACAGCAGTTGTGCACGCCAAAGAGTACATTCAGGAGCTTCGCAATCGGACCATCATTCACACCCTATAGTGGGGGTATTCAGATTCTACATTGTAAATATTTTGCCATTTATTTCCTAGAAACAAACAAAAATTAAAGACAAATGCTTTTTATGATTTGCCATTGACTTATTGCAATACCAAGTACAGCTGCTAGCTTATATGAGTATTTATAAGACTTTGCCCATCTCTCTTGAGCCTCTGGGTATATTTATGCATTTGCAACTTGGAAAGGGAAATAAATCAGCTTTAAACATAATAACAGGTTATAATTTAGAAGGCTTTTCTGAGTACTCTTTAAAAGGAATGTAATTCTCCAACTAATGTCCTGCAGCTGGCAGTTTTGATACTGGACTTGAGTAGAATGTTATGGGATAAGAAAGCTTGTCATTACATTATTTCACTTGATTTCTTCTTGGTATTGTGAAGGGGTGATGGAGGTGAGTGTAGCTGAATGTTGTTTCATTGCAGTGTTTTAGGGCATTTGTATTTCTTTTTTAAATTTCCTTCCATTGTTGGCATAGGCCAGTGGGTGAGGGATTATATTTTCCTTTACTATTTTAGCAGTAATGTGAAATTACAGGAGTTTACTAGATATCTTAATCTAAAACTCTGAAAATGCTTTAACTTAGTTTTTTTCTAGTTAAATAAAGACTGCTATCGGGTCTGCTTCCAACAATGCTTTACATTGCCTGGGTATCTTGTTTAGGATTGATTCATTTTTCAGAGTGAATTCAATTCCCAAGTGAGGAATTGAACCAATCTCAGCACTGCATTCTAAAATAAGGCAGTAGGTGGCACTTAACACTTGTTAAAAGAAAATTGTCAGTATTAAATTAGAGTGTTCAGCACTCCCTGGCTCTCACTCATACATGTATTTTCATTGACAAGAAGCACTCTGTTCTCAGCCCTAGTCTGGTGTTACTCAAACTTTCTGTATGCAGAAGAACGTGGGTACTTACTTGTTAATGCAGACTTCTGGATCTTGCCCCAGTAATTCCTATTCACTAGGTCTTATGAAAGGCCTGTTCCAAAAATCTGTGTTTTAAACAAGCATTTACAGACCACACTTTGAGAACACTCCTCTGACCAAATGAAGAATGTAGTTTTAGTGCCATGTTTTATGATGGCACCAATATAGCGACAATTTACTGGGACCACTTTATTTGCCAAGCTCAGTATAGTATTTTACAGAACTCTTCACAACATCCTGCAAGCATAGGTACTGTTTTGCTATTTCATAAAGGAAGAAATCAAAGCACTCAAAATTTGAAAAAGTATCTTAGGGTCACCTAGTGTATAAATATTGGAGCTATGATTTAAAGGAGGTTTGTAAACTACCTGCTTAGTTAACGAATATACAGATGGGTTTTGTGCCTCTCCAGGTAACTAGTGCATGGGTAAAAAGGCAAAGGTCTGAGTGGAAGGAATAAGCCACAGATTTAGGACAGATTCATTCTGGGTCCTAAGCTACTGTAGCATGGAATCATGTAAATAATGCTGGAATGGTAAAAGGTGACCTTCATTCTAGTCCTGGCTCGTTAACCAGAAAGAAGACTTTGCGCAGGTCTCTTTCTCTCCTGGGCCCCCATTTCATTCATCTCCAAAACAAGTTGTTCAGTGTTCTCTGTAGGCCACCTTCATCAGAACTGCTTGAAGAACTTGTTAAAAAATGCAAACTTCTGGGCCCTACTCTGAGGTTAAGTGAATCAGAATCTGGTGTGGGAGACCAGGGGACTTGAGCTTTTTACAAATGCCCCTTGATGTGCTTGCTGGAGAATCATTGGTCAGAGGGTCTCTGCTGTCTTTCAGTGCAGATGCTCCATGATTTTTAGCCTTGGAGTTCTAACTTTTTGGGTGCAACTAAGACAAGCAGGCAGTAATGTGGACTCCGTAACTATAAATTACGTAAATGAAGGTGCTGCTTCAGTCAGGCTGTTAGAGCTATTCTGAAAGAGTTAAGGACAAAACAGAGCTTGGATTCTAGTGGGGAAAGTATGCTTGTGATCTATGGTTGATACTTCATTTAAAATTGCTTCTGGTGTGTTACAAAGTGTAGTAATAGCTACACTGTGTAGTACTAACATGGCACTATGTGCCTCAAACTGTTTTAAGTACTTTATATTCATTATCTCGATGAATCTTTCCCTCTGTGACTGGTGCAGAGTATATCTGCTTAATTTCCACGGCTGAGAGTGCATAACATAAATGATCATTGTGGTCCCTATTTAAAGTTTAACTTTAATATTCAGGAATGAATGTCAAATAATTATTCTTTAATGGCAATCTCTGAATGATTGTAATTTCCTTCTTTGTCAGAGAATGATGATGAACTTAAACTTCTTGTTGGGGTGCACATTCAGAAAGTGTAACCATCACATTTGTGTAGCTCAATAAGTGATCAGCTGGTGGACATGCCCAAGTAACCAGGTGAAGAAATAGAACATGACAGCAGCCCTGAAGTCGTTTTCATGCCCTGTGCCAGTCACTATCTACTTCTCTTCCCCAAAGGTAGCCCTTATCTGGACTTCTGACATGATAGATCAAAAACAAAATGGTTAGCTTTTGCTTTTTGTCAACTCAGTATAATTTATTGGCCAGCCTTTAAATGTGTGGTGCTAAGGATACAGGCAGTGAAAGAGGAAACAGCCCCTGCCCCATGAAGCTCACAGTCCGATGGGAGAGACATTGTAAATCAGTAATTGCAAGTGTTTACCTGGCTGAGTATATGAAAATAGAGGGATGGGGCTGTGGGGACAGAAATCAGGGCCCTCTGAAAAATAGTTACTGTTTTTTTGGAAAGTTTATTTCCTTAGAGATAAAATGAGGGAAAAAGTGTAAATATGGCAAAGTCATATGAGTCAGCAGAGAGCTATATCAGAATACCAACTTGTGTTTTGTTTTTAACAGTATGCACATGAGCGCCACTACATCCTTCCACAAGTTAAGATGTATGTGAGATGTGGGATGCAATGGGGAATATATTGTCTTTGGAGCTGATTCAGATTTACCAAACTTTATTAGGCTCCAGCTATGCCTGAGGGCTAAGAAACGTGAAGTATACTGCAAACATTGCAAAATAAAATGTATGTGGTTTTCTGTAAGTGATGAAAAATAATCAAGAGTTTTTGCATGCATTTCATTTAAATACAGAGTATTAAGATTAAAACTAAAAATAAAAAATTGTAGTAACATTTTTTTAGGTACAGTCATATATGTGGGTTTAAAACAGGAAATGTTTTTGGAGTTGGTGAGCCCCCAACAGATTCCAAAGCAGGGGAAAGTTGCTTAGGTGACATTATTAACACTTCTAGGAGTAGTTGTCTCTTCTTTAGCTACTGTCTCCTATATCAATGTCTAGGGTCAAACCTCTACATGAGAGCATCAAAGTTCTAGCCCTTATTCTTAAACCAGCCTACTGTGAATTCTGTTTATTGTTTAGGATATATCTGTTATGGAATCACAAATACGTTGGATAGAAGAGAGGAAATATTGGTAGGTGAATTATACTTGTACACCCAAGTAAAATATTTTTTATGCTTGTCTAGTAGGAACTTGAATGAATTATTACTTTCACTTACAGACCAAGGAGCCTCATTAAAATTCTCTGGCAACTAAGGGATGGCAATATTAGTATCAGAGTGGAATTTAAGGAAAAGGCACCTAAGTGAACCTAATAGGGTTGTTTAATGTGCATACGGAGGAACACATTCTATAGTCAACTTGAGAAAATTTCTAAGTCTGCAGAAGGTCATCTGCAAGTTCCAGGTATTCATAGTAGCCCCAGGATAAGAAATCCTGATTTAAATGGTGTAAGTTCATTTATCTGTCTCGCCACAGTCATTTGTTCTTTCCCTATACCCGTGCTCTTTGCATTATGACTGCAGTTCTTTTATTAATAGGAGGCATCTCTTCTGACTTCTTGAATTTGGGCTATGTGACTTCTTTAGCCAACGCAATGTGGCAGAAGTCACAGTTTGCAGTTTTCAGCCTAGGACTCGCTCACTTCTTCTTTCTTTCTTGGACCTCTGCTTCTGCCATGTGAACAAGCCTAGGCTAACCTGGAAGATGAGAGACCATGTGGGGAGAGTTGTGTGCCCCCAGCTTTCAGCCAGCCAACCACTAATTGGTGAGAGCCCAGCTTCCATTGGTACAGCTGTCTACCCACCCACAGATGCTCACATAAGCATGAATGGACCTGGATGAGACTAACAAAATCACCACCAACTGACGTCATGAAGAATAGTAAGTTCTTACAGTTTAAGCCACTGAAACTTAAGGTGGTTTGTTTCACAGTAGCTGTTATAAATATTTCAAACGTTGTACCGTACAGACAATACTTATCCTTTTCAAATGACTATAAGAATTTGTAAAATTAATTCTAGGCTTATCACAAAGAAGATCTCAGTAGATTCTCCCAAATATATAGACCACTTTTTAAAATTGTACTGCCCTACAGCTGGAAATGTGTTGTTCTTTAAGAAAGTTTAAACAGTCTACTTCATAATAGAAGCAACTCTTGTTCTTTGAAAAGACAGAAATCATTGAAATGGACAGATCCTGTGCATCCAATCAAGAAATAAAAATAAAAACAATTAGGTCTGAGAAAAAGACATAAAACATACAGAGAAAATTAAGAATCCTGTGTAGGAATGTGCCAGGTCATCCTATTGTCTGCTTGATTGACCTGGAACTACATTTCCCAGAATCCCCCTTTCTATATGGTTCTGCGTTAGAATTGGCCAGAAGATGAACTTGAGTAATGTTTGGGAGTTGGAAATGATGTTCTCATAATTATTATTGCCTCCTCATATCTATCACAGTAGTGCCTCAGTCTAAGACAACATGCTAATGCAGCAAGCATCCCGTTCCAACATCTTGTAAGACTAAGCAAAAGGGAACAACTAAAGAATACTAGATAGCTCAAAGGCTTTCTGAGTGGGCCCAAGAGCTCTAATTTTAAGCCACATAGCCAGAAACAATGCAACTGGATGACACAGCCAGAGGAAAATTCCCTTCACCACAACAGGACTGTTCTAGCGGAAGGGCCACCCATGGTGCTATGGATCTGACACCAGGATTCCACCATGGTTACTCTGAAAGGGCCAGTTACCTGTGCAGTGTCCTTGCTAGAATGCATGCTCTCCCAGTCTGTGACTACCTCTTCCCATTGTTCTCTTCCTTATCTGAATCTGGATTGGGTAAAAATGCTTGGCAGAAATGTCATATGACTTAAACCTTAACTATAAGGGTGTCTAGAAAGTTACTTTTTTGTTTTCTAGCCTCTTAAAGCATGTCAGTGTCCTCCAGCCAGAGACCACCATAAACAAAACTGTAATTGAACAAGTTGGGTTTACTACTTGCTGCAGTAATGGAGAACACACACCATGGGGAACCTTCAACAAGGGGGTTTTAGAAAACCTATTACAGAATCTGGGCTTTGGGTGATTTGTGGAGTGTCTACGGAAGGGTTCCCTCTAGACTGGATGCCATCAGAAAGTGTGTGTGTGTGTGTAATTCTATGATTGAGTATCTCAATAAATTTTGTATATAGGGAAGGCAAACTAGACTGAGAAAAAAGGCACACTTTGATATTTTGTGGATGGCACAGTGACTTTATTTTTGTCTGTATTTGGACAAAATTATGGTGTGGATTTGCTTTATCTCATTTAATCATGGACACAGAGTGACCTTGTCTAAGTTGGTATTGTGTGAGATAGTTTATATCCAACAGGAGAACAGTATGGCCTAATGTTGAATGTCTGGCCAGCTTCCCAGTGTCAGGGGCTACTCTTTTCTTTCTTAAGCACAACCAAAAGGGGATTGGTTTGGCTGTTAAGTAAGTGAATTTAGTGTATCTTCCTCAGGTATCATTATACTTATTAGTGAAGCTGTGGTGTTTCCAAAGTCAGGTATGAGTCAAGTATGCCTACTACCTGTGGTCATATAGTAATTCTTGAGACTTTAGTCAAAGGAGTAAGACAAAATAAGAAAAAAATCCTTGAGACAAATTATTACTTCCATATAACTACCCACCTAGGAACCCAAGAAAATGAACTGAAAAATTATTACAAGGAGAGGTCAGTAAGGTAGTGTAAAATCAGTATACAAAAATCAGTGCTTACCCTTTAAGTCAACAATCATCAGATAGAAAATACCCTTTTAAAAAGGCATTAAAATAGAGACTAAAATGTAGAATATCTAGAAATAAATCTGACATAAAAGTATGCAGGACCCATATAAATAAAACTCTAAAACTTACTGGAAGACTTGAAGACTTAAATAAATGGTATGGCACACCACATTCTTGGATGGCATAACTCAATAATTCAGCCATTCAATTCTAATAAAAATGTCAAACATATTTTTTTTTAACTAGACAATATAATTCTAAGGTCACCTGGGAAGCTTAATAAAAGGCTGAAGAATTTTTGGAAGATTAAGGGGTGACATACTTCTAGATAGAAAGATTTATTATCCAAGCAACATGATTCCTATGTAAGAATTAAAATAGCCTTCCAAAGAGGCTCGAGTATATACATTTGGTATAGGATAAAGGTGGAATTTAAATGTCCTTACCCTCCTGCTTAAGATAAACAAAGCTGCTAATGTAAGCATGTTGCTCCTCTCATAATAATGAAAAAGTGACAGACAAACTAAAAAATCATTACTTTTGTTGGGCTGATGAGAAAGATGAGGTTGTGAGGCAACCAAGAGAGACAAGTCCCTCTGAGGAGAGAATGGGCTTCACAAACTATCTCCACCCTGGCAGAGCACAAGTAGAGGCACTGCCATTATCCAAGCAGGTGAGAGGAAACCGACTGAATTGTAACATAGTATTGAAATCCACGTGTGGGCTAGTGTGTAAATGGTGGAGGAGCTCATGCTCAGTTCTCTGCCTCTCCCTTCCCTCTCCCAATATTGTTGACATTTCCATGGACATTTGCTTTATGATTTTTCATTACCGTGCAGCCCTCTGTGTCCGTGCCATATTTTATGATAGAAGAAAAAGGTAAAATTGGGGTCCAAATGTAATTTCCTACATGGTACATACAGAGGATTTAGGCACAGACAGGCTGTCTATTGGTGAAAATTAATTTTTTCCATTTACTGGTCTGACTCTCCTTTCCCTATCCAATGCTGTGCCAGCCAAAGCAGCCACATGATTTAGCGCAAGTTAACAGACTCTGAACCTTACAAACTACAGCTAGTTTAAAATAACCTAGGTTGCAACTGTGAGATGTTTAATAGAAAAAACAAATATCAGAGAAATCTGACTTGGAATGGAGAGAGCCTTTTTAAACATCAAAATAAAGGCAGAAGTCATAAAAGAAATGATTATAAATTTGGCTACTTTCAAGTTAAAAAATGATAGACAAATTTTAAAATGTCAAAGCAGAATTGAAAGAATATTTAATTGGGGAAAATGTTTTAAAAATATATGGCAGATAAAGGGTTAACATTCTTGAAATACAAAAAGCTCTTATGATTAATAAGATCAATATCCTAATAGTGAAACACAAGGAATCTGGATAGACCATTTTTTAATGGAAGAAATACATACTATTATTAAGCATTTAAAAATATTCTATCTAGTAATCAAATAGTTGCATATTAAGAGTGTTCACATGCCACACATCCAGTTGTCTGGGGTTGAAAAGAATGGGAACTTCTAGTATTGGGAAGTTTTAGGGAAAAAGAACACTCTGAAGCACTTGGTAGGAGAGTGGTTCAGCACCATTAACAAGGAGCCTCAAAAATGCGTATGCTTTGACTTAACAAGATACGCACAAGGATATTACAGTAGTGATGACTGGAAATGACCTAAAACATTCCAGTGACAGGGAATTGGCCAGGTTATGTTACCTTTGTATACTTGGCATTTTCTAGCCCAAATGGCACCATTGCGTATCTTAGAAAAGAAGGCTCCTTTTATTCCAGGGAGACCCCCAGGTCAGGCCCACAGCTGTGTAGGCAACAACTTGTACATAGGACACCATGGCTGTGATACACACGTGTGATGTATGTAGCCATTAAGACATGTTTCTGAATAATTTGGAATGACATGGGGGTATGCTCCCAATATGCTATTGATTTCCTGAAACATGCAGTGCTAAGAATCGTTTCTGGCCTGTAGTAATAGCTATTATTTAAAAGATAAGCTTTTAAGTGTGTGCAGCATCAGCCCAATTTTAAAAAGAGCAATATAATCATAGAAAGCAAGGGAAAAAAAAAAGACTAGAAGGATATATACCAATATTTTAAAAGTATCACATCTGGCTAATTATAGGTAAGTCATTTTTACTTTTTGTGTTTTTCTATACTTTTGATACTTTCTATGTGAATTGTGTATTATATAGGTAGTTAGAAAAAAAATAGTAAAATCAAAAAATAAATCTCATTTAGAGGACTGAACAGACCAAGGTCTGGAATGCAGCTTACCCAGGGGGAATGGGTACTTTTGGCTACTTTCATTACCTCGAGTTTTCACATAGAAGCTTAAACATTATAGGTGGAGAGAAAAATCAGTGGAGAGCAGCAGTTTAGAAGGACATTCAATAATGGTGGTGAAAATGACCACATTAGAATGTAAAAGTGAGATGAGGTTGTGTGACAGGCCATCCTTGACGTGCAGGTTGTAACCTGAGCAAAACTGTCTTCTGACCCAGCCCTGCTCTTCACAGATGTTAAGCATCCACAGAAAGCTCGGCATAGGGTGGGGAACAGATGGAGAACACAGCAGGCAGCCTTGGTTAAGTCACAGAAGCAGGGGGAGCCCCTGCACCCTCCACTCAGTGATTAAAGTGGGAAATAAGGAGAGAGCAGCCTTTTTGTAGTTTATGTGTAAGCCTAAATTGACTTTATTATGTGGTTAGTTACTTCTCTATATCTGAGTTCCCTTTTCTGATAAGGTGTTGGGTGCAAAGTGAGAGTGTTTTAAGTGGCATTTCCCTTAATGATTTGTTCTCCCTTAAGCCAATGGTGTTAATTATCTGTATTAACGGAGAGAAGGACGCCCATGAGACACGCAGATGCCTATGTCCCTAAAACCAGCGCTTAGTGTTACTCCCCTCTCTTCTCCGTCTTTTCTACTCCGTTTTCCTCCACTGTTCACAACCTTCCAGTCACCCTTCACAGGCTTCAGTTGAAACTGCATCTTGGCATGAAAGACCTTTTCACTCTAGCATCATTGCTAATCCACATATTCTAATAATACCAAACTAGCCCTGGTTGTCTAAACACATATGACATACTATTTCATGTCTCTGGGCATTTATAGTCTTGCTATATTATCAAATGCACATTATAGGCCAGGCCCTGTGCTAAATATAGTATCTCCTTCCCCATAACAATCCTATCTTGTAGTTTTGAATATTGTCATCATTTATAAATGAGAAACCTGAGGTTAAAAGAATTTAATTTTCCTTGAGTCACATAGCAAGTAAGTGGCAGAGCCACAATTTGAACCCAGGTTTCTTTTTTTTTTAAGCCGCTTTATTGAGGTGTGATTGACATACAAAAAGTGGTGGATATTTAATGTATATAAGTTGATGCATTTGGAAATAACTATATGCCTGTGAAACTATCATCAGTGTCAGTGCCATGATCTTCTCTATCACCACCAGAAACTCCTCCTGCCTCATTTGACTCCAGCTTTGACTTCAAAGTTTGAAATTTTCTCTCCTCCTCTCTCTCTTTCTCCCTCTCTCCCTCTCTTTCTCTCTTTTTTATTGTGTTAAAATACAGACAATACACGGTTTAACCATTTTAATTATTTCTAAGTGTACACTTCTGTGGCATTAGGTCCATTTATTAATTGTTGTAAAGCATCATTACTACTCCTTTTTAGAATTTTTCATCTTTCCCAATTGAGGCTATATCCATTAAACAATAATAACTTCCAGTTCTCCCTCGCCAAGGCTTGCCTGCCATCATTCTTTCTGTCTCTGTGAATTTGACCACTCTAGGTACCTCATATAAGTGTAGTCTTAGTCTTTGTTCTTTTGTGATTGGTTTATTTAATTTAGCATAATGCCTTAAAGGTCCATCCATGCTATAGCATGTGTCAGAATTTCTTTCCTATTTATGGCTGAATAATATTCCATTGTACATATACTACATTTTGTTTATCCGTTCACCTATTAATGGACACCTGGGTTGCTTCTACCTTTTGGCTGTTGTAACATTGCTGCAGTGAACATGTACAAATACCTGTTTGAGTCCCTGCTTTCACTTCTGTTGAGTATTTACACAGAAATGATATTGCTGGGCCATATGATAATTCTGGTTTGTGACATGGACATGGTGGAAGTTTGTAGGCTAGTCATTTTTTAGAGTCTCCCTCAATTTGGTCTAGACCTGTTTCCTCATGGTTAGATTCAGGATATGTGTTTTGGCTGCCCTGTCACAGATGCTGTATTTTTTTTCATCACAACCTGTGGGATGGCACATGATGACTATTTGTTAACGGTATTTGTAACCAGTTTGGTTGATTGCTTATTATGCTGGTGTCTGCCACAGTATCTCTGTTGTAAAGTTACCATAAAAATCTCTTCATTATTAGTAAGTATCTTGTGTGGAGATACTTTGAGACTATGTAAATGTCTCTTTCCTCATCAAACTCTCACACAAGAGTTTAGCATCCACTGATGCTTCCTGACTGAATTATTACCATGAGGGTTACCAAGTAGTTATTTTCTAGTACCATTAACATTTCTTCTGCACTTACTAGTTGTCTTCCTACAAAGTTGTCTTCTGTTAAAGAAGAGCTTTCTCTTCTCATTAAAAAATTTTTTTTTCACTTATTTCTATGAGAATGGATTCATGGGTATTTACTTTATTCAATGGATTATAATCTGTTTCTATCATTCATTACTTGTTTTAATGTTCAAAATTTCCCAAGTTTGGCCAGTGGGCACCACTGCAAGTTGGATCCTGTGTCCCTTTGATATTTCTGTCATTGTTTGAGCACTTCCTTCCTTTATGACATAAGAGATAGCCCAGATTCATCTTATTTTTTCCCTGGATTTAGTGATATGAAGAGAGCATATTTATTTGTAGAAATAAGGCTGCTCCTAAACATTTAAAATGTAAAATCAGAGTGCTAGCCAGTCTGCTTCATGTGTATCCACTCCCTTCTAGCCGTGTGGGTCTGAGATTTTACTCCCAGTTACTGGTTTTGATAGTTGTGAACCCCAGAGAAGATGTGTGCATTTTATAGCCAGTTAAATATTATACATAAACGTGAGCATCCCTGAGGGGGGCAGAGATGGGAACTAACAGAGATTTGTGCTGTAGGGCTGTTTGCCTCCTTTCAGACACTCCAGGGCCTGCCAGCATCGGAACTCTGATTAGAGAGAAAACACTTTTTATGTATTTCTCTTTAATGGTAATAAAAGTGAAACTATTGTTGTAAAAAGACACTAGGTTTAGACGACACCATATGGCACCGAGAGGCATTCATCACTACAGCATCTAACAGCTGAACTCAGAATAGCCCATATTTCTGCATTGATGGAGAATTAGCTCCTGACTGCCAGGAAATACCCGTTGTAACAATTCTTCAGCCATGTAATTTAAAATAATTACTAATTAAATGAGAATAAAATAGAGTCCATAATAACAATAATAATCACTGTAGCATTGGTCATTACCCAAGTTACTGTTTGTTGGAGCGTTACCTGAAGGAAGATGGTTTGCCAAAGGGAGGGAGCACCACAAGAGGGCCCAGGGCTTCATCATTGCTGCTGATGTAAGGAATGAATCAGGACTGCTTTGGGGTGCTTGGCAGCTGCAGACCGAAGTTACATCCCATCTCTATTGCCAATCTCATGTTGTTTCAAGGAATTTGTTCACCAAGACAGCAGGCAGCATGCCATTGAAATCCGAGGAACAGGGACAGCCGTGTGGCTCTTGTCAGTGAATTTTTATAATTGCAGGAAACAACTCAAGCAATCACGTTGTCTTTGATAAGTGTCACTCTTATCCCTCTCAGGAAAAGCAAGAGGGCCTTTGGGTGTGTAAGTGGTTATGAGTGGGCATGTGGGATAGTGTAGATGGAGCAGGTTTCATATCAAGGTGCAAAGGGCTACCCAGGTATCTAAGAAAGTAAAATGGCATGCAGGATTTCTGCTTCTCATTGTTATGTGACCTAAAAGAACATGCATTCTTTTGTTTAGTCACTCATCCAACAAATGACTGTCTACTATGTGCCAAATGTTATATGAGGTGCTGGGGATATTGATCAAGGCAGACATGAGTTGCTAATGTCAGGGATCTGAGAGTGTGTTGGGTGGGGAGAAAGATACAAATATAAAAGTGCCTTGGGAGAAGAGAAGAGAGTGCTTGTGAGGACAGCAGGGCATTCTTTGCAACAGGACCTCTGTGAAGGACCCTTGAGGAAGTGCCATTTATGCAGAGCCTGAAGTCAAAGGAATGTTTGGGCAGGCAAACAATGAGGGGAGAATATCCCAGGTAAGGGGGTGCCATGGGCAAAGGCCCTGCCTGATGACAGAACCTGGTTAGTCTGAGGAACTAACAGAAGTGCAGAGTGTGCAGAGAAGCACAGAAATACAGAGGTGGGGAGGATGTGGCACAAAGAGAAGTTGGAGAAGTCAGCCAGCTTCAGAGCTGTGTAGGTTTGGAAAGGAGTCTAGATTTGATTCTAAGCACAACAGGAATCTTCAAGGCCAGGGAGTGACAGCACCTGGTTCATGTCTGTAAAAGCTCAGCCTGGTGGCTGGTGGACAGAGGTCTGGTAGGCACAGGGCCTGAGCTGATACTGGAGAAACCAGGTAGAAGGTCATCTGAAAATTCAGGTGAGAGGGGACAGTCACTCTGGGTGATGGTAGGGCATGAGAAGAGGTAGACTGACTAGGCACTCATGCAGGCAGTAGGGTTGAGGGGGTGTTCTAGGAAAGGGAGGTACCAGGCAGGCTGTTTCCCAGGTCTCTGGCTGGGCAGCTGGGTGAATGGATACTCACTCAGGTGGGAAATATCAGAGGACAATTATTTCTGGGGATTAAAGTATTCAGGTTTTTTTATTGTGGCAAAATACATATAACATAAAATTTACCATTTTAAGCATTTTTAAATGTATACTTCTGTGGAATTAAATACATTTGCATTGTGCCACCAAAACCATTCCTCATCCCAGAATTTTTTCATCCTCCCCATCTGCAGCTCTGTACCCATTAAAAACTAACTCCACATCCCCCCTTACCCCAGCTTCTGACAACCACCAT